CCAAGTGGTACGATTGGGCTCATAGAGCTGGGAGAAAGGAGGGGCTCAGCCTGATGTGGCGGGAACTGTCTCCAGTGGATTGATGCTAAGCCCGGGGGGTGAAGGGGCTAGAAGTGGATGTTCTGCAACCTGGAGATGACTTGTCCCTGCCTCACCCCAGGATGATGAAGCCCTCAAGCTCAGGCCCCACTCCCCATCCGGGCCCATCTCCCACCCTGCCATCTTTCACGCACAGCCTCACCACAGCACCCCGTTATGTCTCATGGGAATGGGATCTCACCATGCTTCTCCTTGCCTCCATGCTTTTGCATACTGGGCCCAGGCCAGCCCCTCCTACCACCACCTGCCTACTTGTTACAGACAACACCTCCTCTGGAAGACCCTTCTGGCCACCCCAGAAAGAGTGACTCACCACTCTTTGGTCTGCCGTGGCAGTCAGCCTATTACTGCTCATAGCACCTGAGCTGGAATTATCAGTGCATGCTGGTCCTCTAGGATGCTGTGAGCTATTTAAGGACCACATATCAGCCTCCCCAGTGCTCAGCACAGGGAGAGTGTCACTCATCAACAAGTATCTACTGAGCACCAGACACCATTCTAGGTGAGCAACATAGAGGAGTCCCTGCCCTCATGGAGTTTATAGTCCATGGTGGGAAAACATGACCAAGGATAAGCATAACACATACAAAAATCACACAGCACGAAGCCAGCTAAGTGGCATCAGGTACACAGGGGCAGGTTGGGATTATGAATAGGGGCAGAAGGTCAGTGTACTCCTGACTGAGATGGTGACGTCAAGGAGGTGAGAGACTAGGCCATGCGGATGTCTGCAGAAAGAGGATTCCAGCAGAGAGAGCGGCCGGTCTTTGAGGCAAAGCATGTCGGGTGTGCTTAGGGAAAAGCAAGGGAGCCCCACGGCTGGTCTGGAGGGAGCGGAGAAGGAGGGGAGAAGGGCTGGTGGCCCCTGAGAAAGGCAGGTCTATTTGGTTAAGAAGCTCAAGAAGTAGTTGTTGAACAAATTGAATTGAAATTTGAAAAGATTCTTGTAGTCTACATAGCAAAAACTACATGAATAATGAAAATGGGGGAACGCCAGTGGAATTTCATGGCTATATGATCAGAGCACAACTAGCGGGAGGACGTCTGGGGAGTTCTGAGAAGCAGTGTCTCCAGCCAGGACGCGGGACTCATGTCCATCTTGGGCTGGCAGAGCGGGGAGCAGGAGCACAGGCAGCAGAGGCTGCATTCATTTCCTAGGGCTGCTGGAACAAAGCACCGCACACTCAGCAGCTTGGAACAACGGAAGTCTACTCTCTTGCAGTTCTGGAGGGCAGAGGTCTGAAACCCAGGTGTCAGCAGGGCCGTGCTCCATCTGAGGCTCGGGGTGGAATCTGTGCCTGCCTCGTGGCTTGTTGTCACGTGGCCATCTTCTCGCTATGTCTGTGTCTTCACATGGTGCCCTTCTCCCCTGTCTCTCCCGTTTCTTACAAGGACACCGGCCATACTGGACCGAGGTCCACCCTGCTCCAGTAAGACCTCATCTTAACTAATGACATCAGCAATGACCCCATTTTCAAACAAGGTTACATTCTGAGGTACTAGGGGTTAGGACTTCAACATGTCTTTTGGGGGGACACAATTCAATCCATACCAGAGGCTTAACCTCCCAGGGACCCAATGGGTGACTCTGGTGCTCCACTGGGCCTCTCTGGGCCTCGGTCTGTCACCTTGTAAGACCAAGAGGCTGACATGTCATCCCTCAGGCACGCAGCTTGCGTCTCTCCAGCTCTTTTTGAAGAAACTTCTCTCCTCTTCTCACTGCACTCCCTCTGATCTCCAGCACAGCAGCGTGGGGACAGACGCTCAGATGATTCCTAACTGTATCTTCACCATAAAACAAATATTTTGAAAAGCTTTTTGATGTCACTTTAATGGAGTGTGGAAAACACTGTTCAACCCCCCGCATTTTTAATTTCATCCTTTTTGCTATTTTTTCTCTTTTAAAGCTTGTGTTTGCTTTCATGTTACACGTTATTTATTTAGTTGCTTGTCAATTAGTGTCTATTCTCCAAGCGACAAGCACATTAGCAGCTGCAGAGATCGGAATTAAAATTCGCGGCCCAGTTGGTGCTACAGTAGCTGGGCCTGCCCGACTGAGAAAATAGCACCTCTTTGTCATTTCAAAAGATGACCTTCTTCTCGCTTCTTCCTGTTTCTGGCTTCAGATTTAATTCCTACTGACTCCTCCGTGGTCACTGCATGGACGTGATGGCTTTGAGATGGATTTTTTTCAAATGCACAAAGGAAGATGTGGGCTCCCGTTAACAGCGGCCTTTGATGATGGTTACTGTAAAACAGGAGTCAGCTGGATTTGAATAACACGCTCTGAATTGCCAGCCTGGGGATCCTAACTCAGCCAGCCTAATATTCCACGCCTCCCCTCAGCAGTTCAGCAAACATTTAGTGAGGTGACATGACGTAGTAGAAACAGTCAAACAGACCTAGCTCCACTATCAGCTCCTCGATTTACTGGGGACATGACTCTAAGCAAGTGCATTAACCTCACTGAGCTTTATTTAATCTTCTGAAAAATGGGAGAATTAAACCCAGCCGCACAGGGATGTAAGAACTGAGACTGTGTGTAGAGCTTTGCAATCCGAGCTTCCATGTCTGATTCCTCCAGTGAACCAGAGGCATTTGCTTACATGGGTTAATCTCAAGGCCAGCAGGACTTTGGAGAAAAAGACAGATGATGCCAAGGCTCCATGGCTCTGGGGTGGAGACAGAAGGAGACTGTCCCCAGCCCAGCTCAGGCCTAAATCTGACTGCCGTTCACTTCAAGGCTGCAGGTAGAAGGCAGAGAAACTGTGATAACCCAGCCCAAGCAGGTTGACTTCAGAACCCAACGGCAAGGCAGGCAACCTGAGAGAGCAGTATTTTCTCATTTTCTGTTCTCAACATGCTACTGCACAGATCCAGGCAATGGAGGTATTGGGATGACTTTTCTCTGATCACATCCCCTTTCCACTAGGATCCCCTGTCCTGCCCCGTCCAGTTAGATCCTAATACCAGCTCCCCTCTATCACCCTCCCCTGCCCCGCACTCCAGCCCTTTTTGCCATAACACATTTCCCCTCTAACAGAGGAGACAATGGGCTTGTTTATTACGGGCGTCCACAGCTAGAATCTAAGCAGAGGTCTTTATTTTGTCCCAAGGGCCCGGGACAGTTCCTACTCTATAAATATTTGTGGAAAGATGACAACCGCAGGTGATGGGGCGTGACTTAGGGCAGGGCGGGGAGATGCAGTGAGGAGCACAAACCGGAGCGACGTTCAGGAGGAAGACGTTCTTAACTCGCTCTGTGCAGCAGGGGCCTCAGGGGCTCTTTTCAAAACCAGGAAGCCCTGCACCTTGCCACAGACTCATCACACCACAGTCTGTGGGACCAGGGTTCTAATCCTCATGCTGACAAGTCCCTGGTAATTCCAACTCAGACAGAGTTGAGAACAGCCAGGGTTCTCAATGCAACTGTGATGGAGAGATGCAGGTTGAGAAGACACGAGTGCCGATCCCAGCTCTGCCTCCAACTCACAGTGTGATCTCGGGCAAGCACTTGCCACACTCAGGGACTCATTTTTCCCATCTGGACCAGGAAGGGGTTGAGGCACTGGTTTTCATGAGGTGTCCCTTGAAGCCCTACTGTTTGATAGAGGGACCTCAGAGTGGGGGTGAGGCTTAGTGGGCTCCCAAGCACTCAGGACCCTGGGGGCCCCATCTTTGCTTGCCCTAGAGCTGACCCACCTGCTTTGTGTATTGGGGTTCCACATAAGATTTCTTTTTGAACAAAGGGTTCCGATTCACAGGTGTTTGGGAACCACAGGCTGGACACTGGCTGGGACTTGGGAGATGCTGGCATTACCAGCTCTGGGCTCAGGGCTTCACCTTCCCCATCTGTCTAATGTGGGGTGGACCCAATCACCCCGAAGTGCCTTCTCACCTGGGAAGTTGGGGTATTCCAGTTTCATGGTAGCAGGAGCGTTGCGAGGAAGAAAGAGAACTGGGTGAAGACAGGAGACAGTGTCTGCAGACGGACAATTACCATCACACAATATAACACTCTAATGGCAGAGTCTTTTATATGAGAATAGACATTATGGAGCACAGTTCCATCAAATGAATATAATAGACTTGTTTTATATTACAATGCACACTGTAATTACACATTTCAATAATTCCTTCAATACATTACATAGAAGCATTCTGAAGTAATGGAGTCCTGGAACCACATATAATAACACGCCTAAAGGGAGACCCTGTAGGTGGTGACAGGCCTCCCAGCTGGCAGAGAGAAGCACGACCTCCTCCAGCCCTGGGCCACGTGGCTTCTCACTGTAATCTCTGGAGACTCTCTGGAGGAAGTGCTTGGTCCAAGCACTTGCCAATTGAGAAGAAATCCCTTCTACAACATCATCAACAGCTAGCAGGCAGCCTCTGTCACATATCTCCAGGGATGGGGAGCTCACTACCTCACAGGTTATCTATTCAGTGGCCCCTGTCATTAAGAAATTACACACTACAAGGCTGGGCACGATGGCTCATGCCTGTAATCCCAGCACTTTGGGAGGCTGAGGTGGGTGAATCACCTGAGGTCAGGAGTTCAAGACCAGCCTGACTAACGTGGAGAAACCCATCTCTACTAAAAATACAAAATTAGCCAGGCACGGTGGCCCATGCCTGTAATCCCAGCTACTTGGGAGGCTGGGGCAGGAGAATCGCTTGAACCCGGGAGGTGGAGGTTGCGATAAGCCAAGATCGTGCCATTGCACTGCAGCCTGGGCAACAAGAGCGAAACTCTGTCTCAAAAAAAAAAGAAAGAAAGAAAGAAAGAAATTACACACTACAAGCATATGCATATCATCTCTAAATTCATATGATCATACTTGTACTGACTGAGGCATGAGATTCATTTACTACTGCTGTCATAGCAAATTAGCACAAACTTTGTGGCTTAAAACAACACATTTATTATCATCTTACAGTTTTATAGGGAGAAGTCTGACACGGGTCTCACTGGGTTAAAATCAAGGAGTAGTCAGGACTGTGCTCTTTTTCTGGGGCCTTTAGGGGAGAATCTGTTTCCTGCGTTTTCCATCTTCCCAAAGTCACTTATGTTCCTTGACTCGTGGCCCCTCCCTCTGCCTTCAGCCACTCTCTGACGCTTTCCCTGGTGTCACATCTCTCTCTGGCCACAGCTAGGAAAAGTTCTTCTCCCTTAAGGAATCATGGAATTAGAGTGGACCTACCTGGATAATCCAGAAAGATCTCCCATCTCAAGGTCTTTAACTTTAATTACCTCTGTAAATTCCCTTTTGTCATATAAAGTAACATATTCACAGGTTCCAAGATTAGAGTATGGACATCTTTAGGGGCTGTCGTTCTGCCTGCCATAGGCGCTATTTCATCATTGCAATACCTAACATATTGTGACT